GTGTGTGTGTGAGAGAGAGAGAGAGAGAGAGAGAGAGAGAGAGAGAGAGAGAGAGATCACGCTTTCCTGACCACCCGTGCAGTCACGATTTGACATCTTGTGTAGAGAGTTTTTAAGAGGTCGTTGATGTGAAGTCCTTTCTTGCTATGCTCACATTCGTTATTCCCTCCATGCTGGCCTGCATTCGTTATAACCTGTACCATTATCTCTTTGATGTACAATATAAGATGGAACAGACAGTCCGCAATCAGACTCGCCATTTGTCGCGAATTCCCTTTTGCAACGAACTTTTGAAATGTGTCTGTCGCCATAGGCAGCGCAACAGATTCTGCATCAACACAAGGTGCTTTGCTAGCGACGACACATGGGAAGTTGTGACAAACGTGGTGACAATTCAGTGTGCCAACATCGGTGCATGCCAGCAGGGCATGCGGCGCAGGCGCGCAGTCCCCGACAGTGGTCCCAATTCCTGTGGAGGTTTGCATTGTTGTGTCGATTTCTTCACCTGCCTTCGTCCTTTCACCTTCTGTACTTCCCATGACAACTTCGTTCGCACAAGTCACCGTCATTTCTCCATCCAACAACCTACCTCGTGTGTGTTGCAGGGCATCAATAACGTCTGAGCAACCGTTCAATAGAGACGTCATATAACAAGGAAGGTCATCCTTACCAATCGCGACACCCTCATCACAGAGACCGTACTCGTCTACGGTTTCCCTACAGTGGCAAATACAGTCTGCTGCGAAGGCCAAGAGGTCGACGACACTGCGTGACGAAGCAGTTAGTGAACCCGTATTATATTCTTGGCTATCATACGATGCCCACCCCTCCTTCAGCACACACTTCTCAGGGCTGCCACAAGATGCGACATCAAGTACTTGTGATTCCCTGTGAGTTCTCTTTGTGACGTGGGCGGCGAACCGATTCAAGACCGCGGTGCGCCTGCGTCTTTCACCATCCAACCATGTGTGGAACTCGTCAAACGTGGTGGTCTTCGGTTCAGCTATTGCCTTCAGTCTGGCAGTCATGTCCTCCCTCAGACGAGGTATGTCTAAACACTTTGGATCGTCTAGCAACAATCAGAACACAGTGAACATCCTGTGTTCCGCAGTTTCTGTCATTTCTACGAGCAGTGACTTAATACGGCCTAGTTCGTCTGACATCTGTCTCGCCAATTGTTTCCGCTTATCTACCTCGTCTGTTAGCCTGTCTATATGTTCTCACCGCTTCTCTACTATCTCACCCCAGTTCCGGTCCATCTCAGTCGTCTTCTCTTCTTTGGCCCCCAGTAGTAGAAAGTGATCCGCCGTTGCATCACACTCTTCGCCTGACTTTCTCTTCTGTCCGGTTTTGGCCAATCTTGACATTTGGAAATATATGTACATACAGTGAAATACATATATATATATATATATATATCGTCAAATAGAACTGCCCGGTAAACCGTAGGCAGAGAGGGAGAAGAGGACAACAAACGAGGGGCTGTGACAAACTGTTTCGTCGGA